AAATGACAGATCTAAATCCACACATATTGATAGTAGCAGAAGGCTAACAGATTAAATTCTGCAACTAAAAGACACAGATTGGCTCAATGGATAAAAAGACAGGAACTCTCTAAATGTTGCTTGCAAGAAACACACCTCATTGACAAAAATATATATAGACTGAAAGTGAAAGGCTGGGAAAAGTTATTTTATACAAACAGAAATGAAAAAAAAAATCAGGAGTCACGATACTGGTATCAGGCAAAAATAAACTTTATGATAAAAAGGGTAAATAGAGTTAAAGAAAAATACTTCATAGGTCTAAAAGGATAAATTCACTGAGAAGATATGATATTACATAACAAATATTTATGCATCCAATGTCAGGTCACTCAAATATGTAAAAGGACTTCTAGATCTAATGGGAGACATAGATTGGAACACACTAATTGTTGGGAGTTTCAACACCCTACTGTCACCACTGGACAAATCATCTAGACAAAAGATAAACAAAGAGACACAAGAGCTAACTGACACTGAAAAGAAATGGACCTGATAGACATATACACAGCATTCCACCCAACACATTTTTCTCATCTCTACATGGAACATTTTCAGAAATTGACCACATAATTGGCCACAAAACAAGCCTCTACAAATGTGTAAATGTATAGAAACCATATCCAGCATTTTCTCTATTTACAATAAAATTAAACTCGAATACTGTGATTGACATATGCCAACAAACTAAATAGAAGCTTGAATAGGCCAATTAACAAGTGATGAGATTGAGTCAGTAATAAATAGCCTCCCAACAAAGAAAAACCCAGGTCCAGATGGCTGTACTTCTGAATCCTGTAACAACTTTAAAAAAGAGCTAACCCAATTCTCCTAGAACTACTTCTAAAGATTCAAAAGGAAGGAACCCTCCCAAACTCATTCTATGAAGCTTGTATCACCTTGAAATCAAAAACAGACAATGGTATAACGAAAAATAAAACTACATACCAATATCTCAGATAAATACTGATGCAAAAATTCTCAACAAAACACTAGCAAATGGAATCCAACAGAGCATTAAGATTATAGTCCATGACAAATAGGTTTATACTAGGGATGCAAGGATGGATTAAAAATGTAAAAACAAAACAAAACAAAACAAAAGTAATACATCCCATTACCAGAAAGAAAAACATATAATCATATTCATAGATGAAGAAAAAGCATTTGATAAAATACTACATCCATCACGATTAAAAATCTAAGCAAAATAATGAGGAGTAGAGTCTATGGAAGGATGTTGAGGGAAAAAGTAGAGAAGCAAGGCATTTATGGGACAAAGAAATGGATTATTATCTGTTGAAGATAATGTGTATAGTATTAGCAACTGGACTGGTGATAAATGTATACATGTTGGAATATTCACTTTGCAAGCTAAATAACGTGACTGAATATATATAAAAGAGACATCCTTCAACACAATAAAAGCCATATATGACCCATTGCTAACATTATACTGAAGGAGGAAAAGTTGAAAGTTCCCCTTTAAAACTGCAATAAGACAAGACTGCCTGCTTTTTCCACTCCTTTCAACATAGTTCTTAAAGTCCTAGCCAATGCAATCAGACAAGAGAGTAAAATAAAAGGCATCCCGATTAGAAAAGGAGCTAAAGTGCTCTTATTTGCTTATGGTATGATTACATATACAAAATGTTAAAGAAAATCCATGTAAAAACTCTGAGAGTCATAAATGAATTCAGTAAAGTAGTAGAATACAAAATCAATATACAAAAATATATAGAATGTTTATACATCAACAATGAACAAACTGAGACAGAATTGAAGAATGCAATACCATTTACAATAGCCACTAAATGAATAAGGTAAGAGGAATAAAACTAACGAAAAAAAGTAAAAGACCTCTACTTTCATAGGAAAACCATAAGAAACTGAAAGTAAATGAAATATGACACAAAAATAAGTGGAGAGACATCTCATGTTCTTGGATTGAAAGAATCAATCTAATAAAAATGTCAGTTCTACTCAAGTTAATTTACATATTCAATGTGATTCCAATCCAATTGCTGATAGCATTCTTCACAGAATATATATATATATGTGTGTGTGTGTGTGTGTGTGTGTGTGTGTGTGTAATATATATATATATTATAATAGTTTGTCTGAAGAAAAAAGAAAAGAAAATTTGCCTGGAATCATAAATGACCCTGTATCACCAAGGCAATATTGTACAAAAAGAATAAAATAGAAAGCATCTCATTACCTGACTTCAAAATATATTGCAGAGCAGTAATAATCAAAACAGCATGGCACTAGCACAGAAATAGACATATAGACAAATGGAACAAAATAGATAATCCAGAAATAACCTCACATCATAAAACCAACTGACCTTTGACATAAGATATAGCAGAGAAAAAAGTCTTTTCAGCAAATGGTGCTGGAAGAACTGGATATACAACTATAGAAAAATTAATCTAGACACCCATCTCTCACCATTAATGAGAATCAACTTAAAATGGATCAAATATTTAAATGTAAAGCCTCAAACTATAAAACTACTAGTAGAAAATGTAGGAAAAACTCTTCAAGATATTGGAGTAGGCAAAGATTTCTTATATATGTGGCACAGGCAATAATCCCCAATGTAGACAAATGGGATTGCATCAAGCTAAAAAGCTAACTCATAGCAAAGGAAACAACAATTAGAGTAAAAAGACACCCCTCAAAAAGGGAGAAAATATTTGTAAATAATTCCTCAGGCAAGATATTGATAACCTGAAAATATAGGGAACTCAAGCAATCACCCATAAAAAATTAAATAATCCCAGGGACCAGCAGGTGGCATGGTGGTTAAGGCGCTGGACACTCCCACATGGCCGACTGGGGTTCAAGACCTGAATCTGGTGGCTTGCTTTCTCACTTCCTCTCTCTCTCACTCTCATCCTCTGTCTCTCTCTGATCAAATTAAAAAATAAATGAATGAATAAATTAAAAATAAAATAAATAATTATAAAACACTTAAATAATCCAATTTAAAAATGGGCAAATGAATTGTGTAGACAATTCTTTAAGGAAGACTTATGAATAGCCAAAAACCATATGTAAAAATATTCAAAATCTCTTGCCACAAGGGAAATACAAATTGAAATATGATGAGATACTTTTTAACTCCAGTTAGAATGGCTAGGATAAAAAACAAACAAACAAAAACAAAACAAAACAAACAAACAAACAAAAACAAGTGCTGGCAAGGTTGTGGAGAAAGGGAACTGTTGTTGGGAATGTCAATTAGTACAACCTCTGTGGAAAACAACATGTAGTTTCCTCAAAAACCTACAAATAGAACTACCATATGACCCACTCTTTGCTATTTACCCAAAGGGCAGGAAAACACTCAGTTGAAAAGACACTTGAACATCAATGTTATTGCAGCATTATTCACAATGGCTAAGACATAGAATCAATCTAAGTGCCCAAAAACTGATGACTGGGTTGAAAAACCTTGACTGGGTTGAAAAACCATAGCTGCTACTCAGCTATTAAAAAAAAATGAGACTCTATCATTTTATTCAAAGTGGATGAATATAGAAGACTTAATGTTGACTAAAGTGAGCCAAACTTTGAAAGATACACACTATAAATCCCCCATTAATATATGCAAAATATATTCACTCTATGGAAGAAATGGAACTATATGAAGAGATGAGAGTAGAGAGGAAAAGTGTAGATACTAAAGACTGTAAAGGAGGTGAGTGAATGGTAGAATAAGGTGGTAGAGGGCAGGTTTGAGGTGCAAATGGCAGAAACATTTAACAGACAAAAAAGTAAAGTTTTCTATTGAAAAAAATATATTGTATATATTATGATGAGGACTTTATATAAAATGTGAAATTACTCTGAAAAAAAATTCCCTCTGAGCATTGCATAAGCTGCATTTCAGATGTGATTATCAGAAGCCTTATATTATGTAATTTCAATTTTATAATACTTTGGGGATCTCTTTTTTTCTTAGAGAGATTTTTGCAACAGGACATGTGCACCTGTCAGAGAGACAGAGAGACAAAAAGCAAGAAATCATCCCTCAGGAGGATTGTACCAAGTTGCAATTCCTTCTCCATTCTCCTCTCATGATTTTGGGCATGCACAAACATTCGCCTTGTGTAAGTTTTAAGCCACCAGGTCCAGGACTCAAACCATGGTTGACTATGTGGGAGTCCAGCAACATAACCATTTTACCATCTGCTGGTCAATTGGATTTTTTTTTAATTGCCCAGAGTGTAGGTTATCTTGGTGAATGGTCCATGGGCACTTGCAAGAAATGCGTATTATGTTAATGGTAGATGGAGTGTTGCATAAACAGTAATTAGTTCAAGTTGATTCATAATGTTGCTCAGGTTTTCTTTTTTTTAATATTTTTGCCTACTTGCTTTGCCCATTAATGAGTTGAGTGATGAATACTTTCAATTTCAATTTTAGCAGTTTTAACTTCATGTATTTTTTTTTATTTTTGGAGAGGTTTTTGCTAAAAAGTTTGTGTGCTCGCCAGAAAGACAGAGAGAGACAGAGAGACAGAAAGCGAGAAATCACCCCCCAGGAGGAATGGCCACACCACAAACCCTTCTCCTCCATTCTCCTCTTGGGATCTTGGGCACGCACGTACATGCGCCCGGCGTGAGTTTAAACCACTGGGTCCGGGACTTGAACTGTGGTTGACTACGTGGGAGTCCAGTGACACAGCCATTATGCTAACTGCTGGTCCTAACAAAATTTTAAAAGGAGAAAAAAAAAAAAAGATGAGTTATTCTGTTTCCTCACTTAACATAAGAAGAAATGGAGACAAATGTGACATGCTCCTTTGTACCAGGGTCAGATTTGTTACTGGTCTCCTCTTCTTTTGACTTTGTCTTGCAGCTGCTGCCTTGAGAAAAATCCCTATTAATTGTGATCAGTCTCCATTGTCACTATCACTTTGCCCCTCCAGGACTGGCTGATGCATAAGTATGAGGAACTATACCTCCTCTGTGACCGAGTTCACCTTGCTGGTAATTCCTAATACCCGAGGGCTGGAGAACATGGAGAACATGCTCTTCATCCTGTTTCTGGCCTTCGATCTCTTCACTTTGCTGGGGAACCTGCTTATCTTCCTCACCATTCTGGCTTCCTCCAACCTCCACACTCCCATGTATTTCTTCCTGCGGAACCTCTCAGTGTTTGATATCTTTTTCCTATCAGTGAGTTCTCCCAAAATGATGCTCCACCTAATGGGGCAAAGCTGCACCATCTCTTACCGGGGCTGTGCCTGCCAGCTCTTCTTCTACCACTTCCTGGGTGGCACTGAGTGTTTCCTGTACACCGTGATGGCCTATGACTGCTTCATGGCCATCTGTCACCCTTTGTGATACTCGGTCATCATGAGCCACAGACTGTGCACTGGCTTGACAGTGGGCACCTGGCTGGGCAGGGTGGGGGGCTGTCTGCATGGAAGTGTCCTCACAGTTCTCATCTTCAGGCTCCCCTACTGTGGCCCCAATGAGGTGGACAATTTTTTCTGTGATATTCTAGTGGTGCTGCCCCTGGCCTACACAGACACTTCTCTGGCCCAGATGGTGAGCTTCACTACTGTGGATGTTGTGACTCTTGCGTGCTTTTTCCTAATCCTTGCTTCCTATAGTCATATCCTCCTTTCCATATTGAAGATCAGTTCTTCAGAAGGCAGGCGCCGAGTCTTTTCTACTTGCAGTGCCCACTTGATCTCTATCCTCTTGTTCTACGGGCCAGTGATGCTCATCTGTCTCTGGCCTGCCTCCAGCCCCTGGCTGGATTCTGTCATTGAGGTGTTAAATAATATTGTCACTCCTTCCCTCAACACTCTGCTTTACCCCTTGAGAAACAAGGATGTGAAATTGGCCGTGAAAAGGGTGTTGACTCAATTAGTCCACATTTCTGGGGAATGAAGCATGGAAACAACTCCTCTCTGAAATTGTCTGGAGACTTGTTTATAGTCCACTGTTCTCCCAGCAGGATTTGCCAAATAGCACATAGGGTAAAGTTCTATCAACATTTTGGGAGTTCTAATGGATGGTCAGGTGGTAGGGATTAGGTGGACTGATCAGTGACTTTTCCTTCAAGGAAGTTTTTCATACTACCCTAGTCCTTTGCGTTTCTGCTTCATACAGTATTTGTTGCAACTATTTTGATTGATTATAATGCCACAACATTCCAGAGGGTACAGACCCTTTCCTTCCCGCCCTCCTTCTTTATTTCAAAATCCATGCCTTACTCCTTCTACAGTATGTTTCTGACCCTTGAATAAAGTTGTTTTATGACAGACAAGGTTTGACACTTAAAATTAGAATTGCACAGTTTGGTAAATTTAAGTTTAAATTGATTTGTGACTTCTTTTGCTTTAACTGCATCTTCCAATTACAAAATTTTAGTTTGAATATTGACCCCTTTTTGGCTATCAGAGAAGTCTAGTGTTGGCCTTTATTCATGATGCCTCAAGTAAATTGACCACTAATCTATCTATATCAAATGGGAAAATAGACTTTTGTAAATTTGCAGAGGAAAACCTATTTTGAGCCAGAATTCTCTATTTGTTGTAGATATATCTAATTTCTTGAAAAATATAATACATCTATAATTAATTGAAATTAAAACATTAACAATATTCATTATGTAATTTTGGAATATTTTGACACTTAAAATTAAACATTTAATCAAATGAATTTCGGGCCATGTATCTGATTCATCCACTCACACATCTAGAATAAGAGTTGACATTTACAATCTTCTTACTAAGTGTGTAATATTGTTCTAAGCACATTGCACATTATTGGTTAAAGTCACTCACGAACTCCACCAGGTAGATACTATGGAATTTTTTTTTGATAGATGAAAAAAACAAAACTAAGGACAGAAAAATATTTACACTCAGGCTGAATCTGAACCTAGGACTAAATTCTATGTCCTAAAACATAATATCTTATGAGATATACCAAGGAATAAAAAAGTTCTGTATGATAACAGCTGTCCTTTCATATGTCTTTGTATGTATGTTTTTTCATATCATTTACTGTGATGAGTATTTTATATATATTAACTAATATAAGTTGAATAGAATCCCTATTGGTAGATACAAATAAATTACTGTGCTGAATGTTTTATGAAAGACTTGAGGACCATATAGATCAAATAACTGCATATAGAAAATAGTGATGACATTGAGCATAACTAAAGAAGTACCCTGAGTAACATTCATAGAAATAAGCAGGGTGGGAAAATATAACATTAGCTTTTTTCCATTCTACATTAATATCCATTAATCCAGTCTGCTGTTGACTGAGTAACTTAAAACCCTCTATCTGATAACAGAGGGACCTGGGTAGAGTATTCACTAAATGACTTATACAAAGAGTAAAGGGAAAAATTTGGAAAGGCAACATCTACCTGTTTATGGTATAAATTAAACATTTATTTACAAGCATCTGCACTTGTTTTCTTGTTTTTTTTTGTTTGTTTGTTTTGTTTTGTTTTATTTATTTATTTTTTGCTATAGGACTTGTACACTCACTGAAGAAAAACAGAGACAGAGAGAAAGAACTCACCCCCAAGTGCTGTGACCATGCCCTAATCCCTTCTCCTCCATTATTTATTTATTTTTTTTGAGAGCTTTTTGTTATAAGGTGTATGTGTTCGCCAGAAAGACACAGAGAGACAGAAAGTTGAGAAATCACCCCTTGGGGGGGATGGCCACGTCGCAATCCCTTCTCCTCCATTCTCCTCTCGGAATCTTGGGCATGTATGCACACGTACCCAGCGTGAGTTTAAGCCACTGGGTCCGAGATTCAAACTGCAATTGGCCACATAGGAGTCCAGTGACATGCCGAATGGGAGTCCAGTGACATAGCCATTATGCTAACTGCTGGTCCCCCTTCTCCGCCATTCTCATCTCAGGATTTGGGGCACACAAATGTGCCTGGTGTGATTCTCAAGCTACGGGGTCTGGGATTTGAACCATAAAGCTGGCCATGTAGGATCCAGTGCCCTTTGTTGGCCCTGGACCTGGTTTTTAAATTTGTTTTTTTCTTTCTTTCTTCCATGAGTGAGAGAGACAGAGAGGTAGAGAGAAAGGTGATCCACCCCAGCTTTAGCCAACCCTGGATCACAGGCACACATATGCCTGCCCGGCATGTGGTTGGCATAAATCTGGAACTTCCCCACGTGGATCAGCTTCATGGAGCATCGTGTTTTGGCTACACCACTATCCAGTCCCCTGAGTCACCTGGTTTACTGCTGTAGTTGCTAATATCACTCCATCGTCACCTGTGGCAACCTTATTTCATTTATTTGAAAGTTCTTGGGTCCCCTGCACTACCTTGTCATGATATTGGCATGGCCTATGCAGTAGGTCTTCATTCGTCACTCTTCATCTATCTTCACAACATAGTGGCTGTTTACCTCCGAGTGAGTGAGTGAGAGTCAGAGCCAGCGGCTGCCAAGCCTTCATGACCTGGTCTCCAAGAGAGCACACCATCACTCTTGCTTTGTCATTTCTCTGTTTGGAAGTGAGGTATCAAGCCTAGGCCATAGCTGGAGGGAGAAAAATTAGGCTCTACCTTATGAAGAGTGTTAGATACTGTGTTCACACATACTCTTTTTTTTTCTTTAAAGTTTATTTATGTCTCCTATGAGAGAGAAAATGGGAGAGAGAGAGACAGAGAGAGAGAGAGATACTCCCAACAGGGTCCCCATGCTATGATCTGCTCCCAGTCTCAGCTGGCCTGGCACACGTTTGGGGAGGTTGCAGGACAAGAACCCAAGGCCCTTCCCATGTGGGTTCAGTTGCATCTCCACTGTGCCACCACTTGGGCCCTGCGAATACATTTTAACCATCACAGATATAGTTGGCCTTACTTAATTATTATTCTTATTGAAATTTTTCTTTCTTTTCTTTTTAAGTTTATTACTTTTAGAGAGAGCAAGAATAGGGAGAAAGAGACAGAGAAAAGAGAGAAGCATCATTGTCAGGTCTTCATGCTGGATCCTCTTCCTGACCCTGCAGCCAGCTGAGATCACTGGCACACCCAGACACACACGGAATGAAGAAGGCTCTGGACCCCACCCAGTCTTCTCACATGGTCGCCCGCACTGCCCCCACATACCCCTACCACTCACACCACCACGGCTGAGCCCTGGGACTCTTCTATTTAGTATTACTTCATATGCTAAACACAGTTCGTAACACATATTTCTTCAAATGGTTTTCTTGATTTAGAATGTTTATTTTAATCCTCTCTGCCTTGGTGAGAACCACATGTATTTTAGATTTTTGTTCATTTTCTGCCACTTCCGTATCTTTTCTGAACATCCCATTCCACAACAATCCCTTCTATCAGCTGGTAGTTCTTGTTTAAATGAATTACTTTTCCCTTAAGAAATACAAATTATGACAGTTCTTTTATCATTGTCTTGGATTGTTACATGATTTAGAAATTATTATCTAATGTTTTGAACAATGACTGGCCTAGAACACAGGTCAGAAAGATAGCTAGGTGAACATTTATTGGCAGTTTACTATTTACAAGGCAAAGTGCTAGCCACAGAGGATACTGTGTGAATAAGATCAGTATGTTCTCTGCTCTCACTGGAGAAGACAGAAATTGAACAATAGTTGATATATGATGTGGATAAAGACAGCATGGTGGTTAGGCATTGGACTCCCATATGGCTGACCATGGTTTGAGTCCTGGAGCTGCAGCTTGCCTTTTCACTTTTTCTCTCTCTCTCTCTGGTGAGCACATGTGCCCTATAGCAAATTAAAAAAATAACCAATGAAATAAAAAAAAATGTCAAGCTTTTATTATTACCTACTACCTTCATTTTGAAAATAAAGCTAAAGAACAAGACAATTGGTATTATAGATGATGATGCATGCTCACTTTTAAAATAAAGACTCAAAATATTTATTGCATTTAGGTAAAACTGAGTATGTTTTAAATCCACATAAACTAATTTTTTTTTTGAGAGTTTTTTTCCATAGGGCGCGTGCACTTGCCAGACAGACAGAGGGAGACAGAGACACAGAACGCGAGAAATCTCCCTCCAGGGGGGGATGGACACGCCACAATCCCTTCTCCTCCATTCTCCTCTCAGGATCTTGGGCATGCATGCACATGTGCCTGGCGTGAGTTTTAAGCCACCGGGTCCGGGACTTGACCCACAGTCGGCTACATGGGAGTCCAGTGACATAGCCATTACGCTAACTGTTTGTCCCTAGACTAAAATTTAAACCCAGGCTCTATGATTGACTTTAGAAGTAAACTTTGGCAATTATGTAAACTTCTTGAGCTCTGCTTTTGTTTTTAATTTTTTTTTCCTAGAGTTCATTTATTTATTTACAGAGAGAGAGAAAGAGCAAAATAAAGACAGGGATTCTAACAGAGTCTGCATGCTGTGACCCTCCCCAAGCCTTCCAGTCAGATAAAGTACCTGCACCTTCAGGCGTGCCCAGCTGGTTGGGCCATGCATGAATACCAATGGCTTGATTTGAGCTCTATTTTTGTATTTAAAAAAATAACATCTAACTCAAAGAGTTAAAGTAAAGTTGAAATAAAGAGGCTTAAACTGCCTACCTTTAAAAAGAAAAGAGATCTTCAGTTGGGGCTGGCAAGTGGCATCGTGGTTAAGGCACTGGACTCCCACATGGCTGACAATTGTTCAAGTCCCAGACCTGGCAGCTTACTTTCTCAATTTCCCTTTCCTTCTCTCTGGACAAATTGAAATAATAAATAAAATAATTCTTAAAAAAAAAAAAAGAATTACCATTTCAAAACAGTGGTGTTGGGAGTCTTTCTTGTATTTCTTCTGTCATGATGAAGCATAGTAATTATAAGAAAGCTGCTAAGGTTACTTAAACTTTGGGGCCAAAAGTGGTGTGGTGTTTAGGGGCACT